CACGGTTACACGAGAAGTTTTCCAACCGCTAAAAAACAACCTTTAAAGAACCGCGGGGGCGACAATGAGAAGCGTCAATTTCGGTAACGTAAAACCAGTTCCGCATATTTTTTTGGTCCCCCCCAACCAATTTTTTGAATGCGATGTCAGCAGGCATGGAGGGGCAGGTCGACAATTTAGTTCAAAAAGTCGCAGCCCTCTAAACCGACTTGGATCAGACGCGAGCAGCACTCCAGCAAATTAAGGCTATGCTCGCAAACCAGTCGGCAGCCGCCACAATAGTAGCAAATGCAGCAGAGAATGCTTCAGTGACATCAGCAACAGAAGCAGCAGCAGCAACACCGACAAAAACACAGCAGCAGCAACATCGACAAAAACACATCAGCAACGGTACCAGATACAGTGATTCTCAAGGCTGCACGTCTGAGGCTAGCAGAGGCGTTCAATCCGATCGTGAAAGGCACGGACGTCAGGAGATTCATCTCGACCTTCGAAATTCATTTCGAGGCCGTTGGCTATACGATTCCGACACACAACGTAATGCGGATTCGGCTCGCGACCACACTGTTGCGAGGCTTGGCACTCAAGTGGATCCATAGTAGCTGTGAAGTTCGAGGCGATGGTTCATGGGCGCAATTTCAGGCAGACCTTATCAAATGTTTTGAACAAATAAATTTATCCTACATGGCGCAGTAGCAAATTCATCGTCACCGACAATTCGGCAGTGTAGCGCAGTAGATGCAGCGGATGGAAGATCTCTTCAACAGGTTCAACGACCTAATCGAAGGTGATAAAATCCAGGCGTACTCTGAAGGACTAATATACGAAGTCTGTCGGCACCTATGTTGGCGCAGTTCCCCCTCCTGGGGCGAACATAGTCAATGGTATATGGATCTTTAAGGTGAGGCGGCCACCTGGATCTCCGCCTGTCTTCAAAGCGCGCTACATGGCTAGAGGTTTTGAGTCAGCGTGAGGGAGTTGATGTCTTTCTGAAGAGTCTTCTGGGGTTACTTCACGTTGCAGCGCAGAGAGACTACGAGTTGCACTCCCTCGACTTCTCCATTGCCTTTCTTCAGGGCTGCCTGTACGAGGAGATTGGGTTATGCCACCCTCCTGGCTTCACTGCCACCTTCCCACCTGGGACCTAGTGGAGCCTGAGACGATTAGTCTACGGTCTCCGCCAGGCACCCCGTGAGTGGCACAACACTCTCTGTATGATACTCTCTGACCTTGGCTTCGCACCGTCCACTTCTAACCCGTCGCTTTTTGTTCGTCGTGGGCCCACACCTTTCTTTGTTCCCATGTATGTCAACGACTTGGTCTTTGCCACTGCAGACAGGGTTGCTCTGGCTGAGGTGAAGTCCAAACTGTAAATGAGACACACGTGCACTGGCCTTGATGAACTGTGCCGCTACCTTAGATTGCAAATCACCAGGGAAAGAGCCGCTCACACCATCACTCTAACTTAGTCACACATGGTGCGGCAGGTCCTTCAACTGTTCAGGCTTAGATTCTCCACCACACAGCCCACTCCTCTTGCTGTTGATCACAAACTCACTGCTCTTATTTTTGCCTCATGTACCTGATGACTTGTACTCGCCCGGACCTCGCCTTTCCTCTCAGCATCCTAGCTCGCTTTGTTGCGACTGGGAGGCACCGCCCTGTTCACTGGAGAGCTGCTGTGAGGATGGCAAAGCAACTGGCGACTACATCAGGCATGGGGCTTGTGCTTGGAGGGACACAGCGAGTTGTGCTCACCGGTCACTTTGACTCTTCTTACGCCGATCATGTCGAGACTTAGAGGTATACTCAGGGATACTGCTTCAGCTTGGGCTCTGGCGATGTATCGTGGAGGTCTTCTTGGTCCTCGTCCGTGGCGCAGTCTAGCGTCGGGGCCGAGATCCACGCCAAAGCCATGGCTACGTAGGAGCTTTGCTGGTTGACCTTCTTGCTCATTGACCTTGGTGAGCGGCCGAGCTTTGCGCCGACTATGTTCGCTGACAACAAGGCCATGATTCTCCTGAGTCAAAAGCCTCGACTGGAGAGCAGAGTGAAGCACATCGATGTCAGGTACTTTGTCCTTCAATAGTTGCAACGACGTGGGCAGGCACGTTTGGTGTTCGTGGCCTCAGAGGCCAACATAGCAGACACTTTCACCAAGACTCTTCCGCCTGGTGACCATCACAGCTTCTGTTGTGTGATGCAATCATTTGCATTCACGTCTGTCTGCATCCCATCATATTCTCCTATATTGTATGTGTGGTGTGCGCGTGCGAAGGACCTTGTATTGGCATGGTTTGGATGGAGTGAGTGTTTGTGAAATTTTTTTTTTCTAAGCAGATATCTGAAATGACTTCTCTAGGTAAGAGCTTTCTGACAAACCAAGAATCGTCGCGATTGGGGCACGGTCGAGAAAGTTACGAAGGGTTGAAGTTCGCATGCTTTTGATATTTCGTTGCGGCAACATTGGGAATTTGTGGGGTGACTCTCTATGGTGTATAGACCATTGGGGGTTGTTCTTCACTTCACTGTAGTTGCTGCTAAGTGGTTGGGGAAGCCAAACCACGTTGGCAAGTGTGGCAAATACAGGCGAGGTGGATTGCATGGGTTGGGAAAGTGACAAAGGTCAAAGTGGGGTTACTACAGGGAGGGAACATTGCGTGCTTATGGGGTTTCCTTGGTTGGGGACTCCTTTGGGACCTTCCCTCTCGTCCTCCTCATCCCCTCCTACCTGGTTTCTTGCTACTCTAATTCCTAGTGTGGTTCTTGGGTTGACAATTGTGATTGAGTAAAGATTCAGCTCCAGCATACCCCCTAGTGCGCCAAAAATCACAACTCGATATATATTTCACCTTTTAATGTGATTCAAATTGGGATTTCTAGCCACGGTCTAGAGCTACAACATACTTGGTTATTGTGAAAAGCGTTTCTTGTGAAGTTGACACTTCTGTCCAGAATTTTAGTCCAACGTTATTAGTTATTTCGGGCCCTAAAGTTCTACACTTCGTCCTTGCTCCTATCAGGTTCTGTGTGCACTTAGCCTTGTTGAGACAAGTTTTGGGTTGCAATTGTCTTGGCTCTTGTCTCAGAGTTTTGGGGAGCGGGGGAGGCAGGCACGTGAGGAGGGGCGAGAGAAGGAGCATGAGAAAAGGAAATTGATGGAAGCGGCAAAAGCAGTGCCCCACAACTTCCACCGATTCGTGGCATCCCCTTAATGGCCATGCTTGCTTCATTCTCATACCGAATGAGACTCGCTTCCTCATCATGAAATTCCGTTACACTCGTTATGATCACAACTCGCGGCACTCACCTCCTCCAAAAATTACAGCAGCTCCGCCTCACTCGCACTGCAGTCGTCGACGTCCAGGGCCCAAAACTGGGTTCTGGCCACCCTGTCAAATTAGGGTGCCAGCCAGGGCCTACCTTCAATGGTAGGGTTAAAAAAAATGTTAGCCTGACATATTCATGTTGTGTGATGCAATCATATTCGTTCACGTCTGTCTGCCTCCCATCATATGTTTGTGCGTTGCATGCGTGGTGTGAGCATGTGCAAGAATTTGTTTTCGGTTTGGTTTGGACGTTGTGAATGTGTGTGAACTCTATTTTGCTTGAGCAGATACTTGAAATCACTTCTCTGCTCGAGAGCTTTCCGACGAACCAAGAATCGTCGCGATCGGAGCACGGACGAGAAAGTTACGAACGGTTGAAGTTCGTATGCTTATGATATTTTATTGCCGCAACCTTGAGAATTTTTGGAGTAACTCTATATGGGGTATAGACTTTTGGGGGTTGGGGAAATTCTTCACCATCAGTGTAGTTGATGCCAAGTGGTTGGGAGAAGCCAAACCAGGTTGGCAAGTGTGGCCAAGTTGGGTGAGGTGGATGGCATGGGTTGGGAAAGTGACAAAGGTCAAAGTTGGGGTGCCTATAGGGAGGGGAATTGTGAGCTCATGGGAGTGGTTTCCTTGGTTGGGGACTCCCTTGGGACCTTCCCTTTCGTCCTCCCTATCCTCTCCTACCTGGTTTGTAGCTACTCTAATCCTCTTTGTGGTTCTTGTGTGGATAATTCTGATTGAGTTAATTTTATGCAGCAACACCCGAAGAGTAGTTATCTTCGGGGTAGGAGCGAAGGTTTGGAAGAAGTCTACCCCCTCTCGCTGGCTGAAGCCTCTCGCAACATAGTGCGCCTTGAACACTGGTGGTGAACCAGACGGCCGCTTCACCTTGTAGAGCCATTGGCCACTGACGACGTTTGTCCCAGGTGGTGGGACTGCATCGACGTAGGTGCCTGTGGACCTATAAGATGCCATCTCTGCCTCCTCAGCTGCTATCCAGTACGAGGCCCAAGGTCCCGAGACCACCTCAGCGTGATTGCGAGGGATCGGGATGTCAAGGGCGTCTGGATCCCCCTCAGGGGCAAGCAGCATGGCGCAGAGATGAGGAACAGCAGCCGCAAGGAAACCAAGCTCGAATTGTAAGTCCTCCAAGACCTTCAGGGGAAAGACAAGAGCACCCCCAGAGGACGGAGCACGAGCAGGGCCACTCACCGGGTGAGCGGCGTAGTCAAGGCAGTGGGAAGAGGCAAAGCTAGCGACATTGGTAACAAGAGCTGAGACAGACGACAAAGGTGCAGTCGGGTCAGTGATCAACGTGAACAAAACACGGGAGACGACAGGACGGGAGGCACAAAGTTAGTCGGACAACGGGTCGGGAAACACAGTGAGGGACGACTCAGGAGGCTGTGGAAGGACTGGAGGAGGTGGAACACGAGAGCGGAGAACAAGGTGAAATGGGACGTCTGCAAGGTAACGAGACCGACGGGGCTCTGGCGACACAGCACGACTGAGGGGAGAACGACGAGTCCTCGGGGACGAGGAAAGGGACTCAACAGGGGGAACAGGAGAGGATGGTAGGGGACCACGAACCAAGCGTGCAGGTGCTGGGTCGGGCAGGTCGCGCTGCCGGAGCTGCTCTGCCTCTTCTGGCGCTCGTCTGCTGCAATGGCACATATCCCTGCTGTTGCTCCTGTGACTCCTCCTCTGCTCTCTCCTGCTGTGGCTGCAGCTGCACCTGCTGCTGCGGCCGGGACTCCTGCTCCACTCTCTCCTGCTGTGAACGTGAATCCTCCTCTACTCTCTCCTGATGTGACTGCACCTGCTCCTGTGGCTCCTCCTCTGCCCTCTCCTGCACGCTCAGCTACACCTGCTGCTGCGGTCGGGACTCCTGCTCTACTCTCTCCTCCTGCGAACGTGACTCCTCCTCTAATCTCTCCTACTGTGACTGTACCTGCTGATCTGGCTCCTCCTCTGCCCTCTCCTGCTGTGGTGGAAGCTGCACCTGCTGCTACGACCGGGACTCCTGCTCTACCCTCTCCTACTGCGAACGTGACTCTTCCTCTACTCTCTCCTGCTGTGGCTGCGATTGCATCTGCTGCTGCAGTCGTGACTCCTCCTCTACTCTCTCCTAATGTGGCTGTGGCTCCTCTTCTACTCTCTCCAGGCGCTGCAACTGAGAGTGCGCCTGCTGCTGCTGCTGCTGCTGCTGCTGTCGTGCCCTCTCAAAGCTCTCCCGCTCCTCCCTCTCCAACCGGTCTAGACGTTGCAGACGAGTCAGGAAACGTACAGCGCGTGGTGTAGGCGTCGCAGTGCCCATGTCTCCGGCTCCAGCACCCCCAGAACCAGAACCTCTGCCAACGGCCCCCTCAGTGACCCCAGTACCTCCCATAGGAACACCCCAGGCTCCGCAGTAACCGACCGCAGAGGCGAACGAGGAGGGAACTGTGGGACGGACGGGAAGCCAGGGGTTGAGGCAAGGCAAGCGCGCCGACTCGAGGCAGCCGTGTCCTCCACAGGGGTGGCCTCCACGCCCACACACCCTGCACCCCCAGAGCCGGCACCACCAGCTCCAGCAGCCCTAGTACCCTCACCCTCCACAGCTTCACCTCCTGCACCCCTAAACGTGGTAGGGATCGGACGATACGGGGGAGATGAATGCGGCGTGACGTGCGACACACCTGACGGGGCAGGACATGAAGAGGGGGGGGGGGGCTACCGGGGCGATTGGGGAGGGCTCAAGGGTGAGGACCAGTGAAGGGGGGGGGGGGGGGGGGGGGGGGGACCTCAGTACCTTGGTGGGAGCGACTCCTGTAGTAACAGATAGACTCGTTGAATGTGACGTCCTGAGAAGCGAAGAACTAGTGGGTGACCGGGTCGTAGAACGCACAGCTGGAGGTGTCCAAAGGGAAGCTAAGAAAGGTGCAGGAACGAGTGCGCGCACACAACTTTGTTCACGCCAGGGGCACGAACGTGAGCCAGAGAACCCCAGGCACGGTATTCAGGTGCTACACCCCGGGACACTGTCCAATGGAAGACTGACGTCACCTGTGGCCGTGCATCACTGGGCCACAGGTTCAGCTGGTGCGTGGCGTAGCGGACTGTCAGGGGCCACAAGGACTGGGGGGCACTGGCGTGGCACATGGAGGTCCGAGCAACCTCCATGACCAGGCCGATGCGTCGCTCAGCTACCCTGTTCTGCTGCGGCGAGTCTGGTAGCGTGTAAGACTGGATGATCCACTGACCCTGACGGAACGCCTCCAGGTGAGTGGAAGCAAACTCACCACCACTGTCCAAGTGTAGGCGGAGCCCACACAGGCCCTGTGCGCCACCCCTCGCTAGTAGCAATGGCTCTAGGACGGTAGGCACGTCGGCCTTCCATTGCAAGGGAGACACCGTGGTGTAGCGGGAGTAGTCGTCCACCACAATCAGGAAGTAGCGATCCTAACGTGGGCCAAGGACCGGGGAGGGGCCCCAAACGTCCAAGTGCAGGGTCTGTAAGGGAGCCGTGGTGGGGGGGAACGAGGAGGAGTGAGGGGCAGCGCGCTGCCGACCATCGACGCAAGGAGTGCACGGCAGCGCAGGCGACCGAGGGATTGGAGCAAGCGACTCTGGGAGACCTAAGACCAGACGGTGACGTACCATCCTACTAAGACGTCGGAACGACGGGTGACCTAGACGGTGGTGCCAGAGGACCGACGGGTGGGTGAGTGACCGACAGTCGCACGACACAGCAGCTACCTCACCTGACCTAACCTGACCTGACCCTGTGTGGTAAGACCCAGTGTGTAGTGAGTACAGACCAGAGCCCGGCTTCCTGTGGAAAGTGGCCAGATGCGCTCCAGTGGCACCGACTGTGCAGGAGGCAACTGGCTCATCCAGTGGGAAAGTAGTGACTACACCTAGGTCGCGGATGTGACCGACACCCACGAGGTTTCTGGAGAACGAGGGGGTGTAGTAACCTGTGAGAAACCCAGAGGGCATCACCGGACACGGAAGAGTGTTGATGCTGTGGGCAACTACAGGTCGTACGGATGGGTCAGCCAAGGCGACAGTGACTGGAGTGCGCAGTGGCGTGAAAAGAAAGAAAGAAACAACTTCACGCTTTCGAGTTTAGGGTGAAGGAAAACTGAGCAGTCTGTGACGTCGCACCCGAGCCAGCGACAAAGGCTGGTGCTAGACTAGTGGTAGCTGCAGCTCCCACACAAAGTCCGTCAGAGGCTCCTGGACTGGAAACTACACACGCACCAAGACTGGACACACAGGTCTCTAATCGTGCAGGCGGGAAAGGTCCTAGACCAAATAGGTGAGACTCAACTAGTGCAGCAGTGCGCTGGCGGAGACGCGAGGGCCAGTGCGGTGTAATAGCGTATGGACCAAAACGCTCACGGTGAAGGTCGTCGAAGCGACGGTAGCAGCAAGATGCAGTGTGGTCAGGATTCCAGCAGGTAGTGCCAGCATCAGGACCTGTCAGGGCCCGGTGCCCGCAGGGGCCGACGTCTCGCCCACTGCTAGTTGGGCCACTACTGGGGGCGCCACACTTTGGACCCGCAGGTCCCCACTGCCAGGAGTGCTGCGGCTGGCCTTGCTGCTTTAGAACACCAGTACACGCCATGAGAGAAGCTAGACGCTGAGCTGCTGCTGAATCTTCTGGGGGCAGCCTATGCTGCTGCTGGTTTTGCTGGGGCCACCCTAAGCTGCTTCTGGTTCTGCTGGGGGCAGCCTAAGCTGCTGCTGGTGCGCTGGGGGCAGGCTATGCTGCTGCTGGTTCTGCTGGGGGCAGCCTATGCTGCTGCTGGTTCTGCTGGGGGCAGCCTATGCTGCTGCTGGTTCGGCTGGGGGCAGCCTTAACTGCTTCTGGTGCGCTGGGGGCAGCCTATGCTGCTGCTGGTCCTATGGTGCTGCTGGTTCTGCTGGGGGCAGCCTATGCTGCTGCTGGTTCTGCTGGGGGCAGCCTATGCTGCTGCTGGTTCTGCTGGGGGCAGCCTATGCTGCTGCTTGTTTGACTGGTGACAACCTAAACTGCTGCTGGAACGCTGGGGGCAGCCTATGCTGCTGCTGGTTCTGCTGGGGGTAGCCTAAGCTGCTGCTGGTGCGCTGGGGGCAGCCTAAGTTGCTGCTGGTGCGCTGCGGTAGCCTAAGCTGCTACTGGTGCTGCTAGCGACGGGTTTCAGCGCGTAAAGCAAAGGATTCAGGTCGTGGGGGCAGCTCTGACTGGTACAGGTGGGGCAGCGGGTACTGCTTTGTGCGGTTCCGTGCGGTTCTATACGGTGCAGTGCGGTTCTGTGCGGTTCCAGGGGGGGAAGTGCTAGCACGGGTACGGGTGAGGCGGCTGGGTACGGGTCTAGTGGCAGGTTAAGGGTGGGGTGGTAGTTCTGGCTGGGGCGGCGGGCTAGAGGTGAGGCAGCGGGAATGTTTGGGGCGGCGGTGGAGCAGCGCGCGGGCTGCACGAGCTGCTGCGTGTGCATTCGAGCATGCAGCTGCGCATGCTGCTGTGCGGGCCGTTGCGCGCGGCTGCTTGTGTGGTTGCGTGCGGTTGCGCGAGCGGCCGTGCGTGCGGCTTCGCCGACGGCTGCGCGCAGTTGCGGCTATGGCTACGGCTGTGCGCGGCTGCGGCTACGGCTACGACTGCGCGCGGCTGCGGCTACGCCTACGGCTGCGTGCTAGCGGGCTGGCGAGCAACGCGCGGGGTAGAATGAGTGGGGCGCGGGGCAAAAAACGGGTTACGCGAGCGGGGCAAAATGGATGGCGCGCGAACTAGTGAGGTGATGGGGCGCTTCGGGCATTAGGGCGCTTCGCGCATTAGGGCGCTATGAGGAGGTGGTCCCATAGGACGTTCTAGCTCTATACCATGTCGAGAGACTTACGGGTGAAAAGAATTGACTAAGGAAAACAAGGTACAACAAGATATAGCAAACCCTAGGAAATAAAAATGGAACACCTAGACTAACCTAAACGACACAGATAAAATATTTGTTGATACACTCCGCAGTAGAACGGCATGGCGGAACGGGAGATGCGGATGGTGGTTGAGTCGTTGCGGCATGGGAGTGCAGCACCATTGGTGGCACCTCGCTCTGCGGCAGGCTGTCTGGGTGCGCAACTGCTTGGAGCGGTCAACGACACCACCAGGGACGACGCCGTACCAGCTGCTGATCGGCAAGAAGCGCGACCTTGCGCTGGCGCAGGTGTAGGGCTGCATGGTGCAGTTCATGGTCCCCGAGCAGCAGCCCGGTGGGAAGTTGACGCCGAAGGCTCGCTTGGGAATTCACCTTGGGGTGTCGCCGGAGATCAGGGGTTGGGAGGTGCTCAACTTGACTGGCAACAAGTTGGTCACGTCGGTCGAAGTCATCTTCTACGAGACGCTGTCGGTGGAGCTGTGGAAGATGGAGTTTGGGTCCGCGTCGGGGCAGACGGAGGCACACCCGCCGTTGGACACCTCGAACACAACGTTTCCACTGCTCGCCGAGGTCGACGAGCCTGCTAATGAGGACGTCAAGGACCAGCTCTCTCCTCCTCCCCCTGATCCCACCTCTCCACCTCTTGTCGTCGACCTACCTGAGCAGCCAATGTCGTCGTCTTCCGGCAATGAGGGGAGCCTTGTGGCGTCACCAGTAGCACCAGCCAATGGCATTGCCGGCGGCCGACGAGACGTCAAGCTCATCGACGAGGATGCGAAGCCGTCGACGTGAGGGGAGCAGCAGACATGGCAGTCGACAAGGGAGCTGTCGACGAAAGAGAAGTCGGCAAGCGGGCCGACGAGAGGGGTGGAGTTGGTCGAGAAGACCGTCGACGACGAGGCTGTCGAGGACGAAGGGGAGCTGTCGGCAGGCGAGGAGTCCACCGACAGTGACGAGGTAGAGGTTCCAATCAAGAAGCCTGGACTGTGACACTCAGATCGAACCTAGAAGCCGCCGGAGCGGCTGAGCTTCCTTGTTTGTCGCTAGCCGTCTTCACCACGCTGCTTGACGACGCTGATCACGACGTCGACCTGCCGGAGCTCGACCCTGACGTGCATGCCGACCAAGAGCACCGAGGTGAAGGAGGCATTAGCGAGCTAGAAAGGCAAGGCAGTGAATGCCGCCATCGACGAGGAGATCCACAGCCTCATCACTAACGGCACCTGGGAGCAGGTTGAGCATCCGCGCGGGGTGAACATTATGAAGAACCGGTAGATGCTGATGACGAAGTACCACATCAACGATACGGTCGCTCGTTTGGTTGTGAAGGGGTTCATGCAGGTGTACGGCGTGGACTACGACGAGACGTACGCACTGGTCGGGAGCTACGTCACGCTGAGGATC